CAGCTTCCACCAGTGAGGCGTCAGATGGTTCCAGCTTCCACCAGTGAGGCGTCAGATGGTTCCAGCTTCCACCAATGAGGCGTCAGATGGTTCCAGCTTCCACCAATGAGGCGTCAGATGGTTCCAGCTTCCACCAATGAGACGTCAGATGGTTCCAGCTTCCACCAATGAGGCGTCAGATGGTCCAGCTTCCACCAATGAGGCGTCAGATGGTCCCAGCTTCCACCAATGAGGCGTCAGATGGTTCCAGCTTCCACCAATGAGACGTCAGATGGTTCCAGCTTCCACCAGTGAGGCGTCAGATGGTTCCAGCTTTCACCAGTGAGGCGTCAGATGGTTCCAGCTTCCACCAATGAGGCGTCAGATGGTTCCAGCTTCCACCAATGAGGCGTCAGATGGTTCCAGCTTCCACCAATGAGGCGTCAGATGGTTCCAGCTTCCACCAATGAGGCGTCAGACGGTTCCAGCTTCCACCAATGAGGCGTCAGATGGTCCCAGCTTCCACCAATGAGGCGTCAGATGGTTCCAGCTTCCACCAATGAGGCGTTAGATGGTTCCAGCTTCCACCAATGAGGCGTCAGACGGTTCCAGCTTCCACTAATGAGGCGTCAGATGGTTCCAGCTTCCACCAGTGAGGCGTCAGATGGTTCCAGCTTCCACCAGTGAGGTGTCAGATGGTTCCAGCTTCCACCAATGAGGCGTCAGATGTTCCCAGCTTCCACCAGTGAGGCGTCAGATGGTTCCAGCTTCCACTAATGAGGCGTCAGATGGTCCCAGCTTCCACTAATGAGGCGTCAGATGGTTCCAGCTTCCACCAGTGAGGCGTCAGATGGTTCCAGCTTCCACTAATGAGGCGTCAGATGGTTCCAGCTTCCACCAGTGAGGTGTCAGATGGTTCCAGCTTCCACCAATGAGGCGTCAGATGTTCCCAGCTTCCACCAGTGAGGCGTCAGATGGTTCCAGCTTCCACTAATGAGGCGTCAGATGGTTCCAGCTTCCACCAATGAGGCGTCAGATGGTTCCAGCTTCCACTAATGAGGCGTCAGATGGTTCCAGCTTCCACTAATGAGGCGTCAGATGGTTCCAGCTTCCACTAATGAGGCGTCAGATGGTTCCAGCTTCCACTAATGAGGCGTCAGATGGTTCCAGCTTCCACCAGTGAGGCGTCAGATGGTTCCAGCTTCCACCAATGAGGCGTCAGATGGTTCCAGCTTCCACCAATGAGGCGTCAGATGGTTCCAGCTTCCACCAGTGAGGCGTCAGATGGTTCCGGCTTCCACCAGTGAGGCGTCAGATGGTTCCAGCTTCCACCAATGAGGCGTCAGATGGTTCCAGCTTCCACCAATGAGGCGTCAGATGGTCCCAGCTTCCACCAATGAGGCGTCAGATGGTTCCAGCTTCCACCAATGAGGCGTCAGATGGTTCAAGCTTCCACCAATGAGGCGTCAGATGGTCCCAGCTTCCACCAATGAGGCGTCAGATGGTCCCAGCTTCCACCAATGAGACGTCAGATGGTTCCAGCTTCCACCAGTGAGGCGTCAGATGGTTCCAGCTTCCACTAATGAGGCGTCAGATGGTTCCAGCTTCCACCAGTGAGGCGTCAGATGGTTCCAGCTTCCACTAATGAGGCGTCAGATGGTTCCAGCTTCCACCAGTGAGGTGTCAGATGGTTCCAGCTTCCACCAATGAGGCGTCAGATGTTCCCAGCTTCCACCAGTGAGGCGTCAGATGGTTCCAGCTTCCACTAATGAGGCGTCAGATGGTCCCAGCTTCCACTAATGAGGCGTCAGATGGTTCCAGCTTCCACCAGTGAGGCGTCAGATGGTTCCAGCTTCCACTAATGAGGCGTCAGATGGTTCCAGCTTCCACCAGTGAGGTGTCAGATGGTTCCAGCTTCCACCAGTGAGGCGTCAGATGTTCCCAGCTTCCACCAGTGAGGCGTCAGATGGTTCCAGCTTCCACTAATGAGGCGTCAGATGGTTCCAGCTTCCACCAATGAGGCGTCAGATGGTTCCAGCTTCCACTAATGAGGCGTCAGATGGTTCCAGCTTCCACTAATGAGGCGTCAGATGGTTCCAGCTTCCACTAATGAGGCGTCAGATGGTTCCAGCTTCCACTAATGAGGCGTCAGATGGTTCCAGCTTCCACCAGTGAGGCGTCAGATGGTTCCAGCTTCCACCAATGAGACGTCAGATGGTTCCAGCTTCCACCAGTGAGGCGTCAGATGGTTCCAGCTTCCACTAATGAGGCGTCAGATGGTTCCAGCTTCCACTAATGAGGCGTCAGATGGTTCCAGCTTCCACCAATGAGGCGTCAGATGGTTCCAGCTTCCACCAATGAGGCGTCAGATGGTTCCAGCTTCCACCAGTGAGGCGTCAGATGGTTCCAGCTTCCACCAGTGAGGCGTCAGATGGTTCCAGCTTCCACCAATGAGGCGTCAGATGGTTCCAGCTTCCACCAATGAGGCGTCAGATGGTCCCAGCTTCCACCAATGAGGCGTCAGATGGGTCCAGCTTCCACCAATGAGACGTCAGATTGTTCCAGCTTCCACCAATGAGGCGTCAGATGGTCCCAGCTTCCACCAATGAGGCGTCAGATGGTCCCAGCTTCCACCAATGAGACGTCAGATGGTTCCAGCTTCCACCAATGAGGCGTCAGATGGTTCCAGCTTCCACCAGTGAGGCGTCAGATGGTTCCAGCTTCCACTAATGAGGCGTCAGATGGTTCCAGCTTCCACCAATGAGGCGTCAGATGGTTCCAGCTTCCACCAATGAGGCGTCAGATGGTTCCAGCTTCCACCAATGAGGCGTCAGACGGTTCCAGCTTCCACTAATGAGGCGTCAGATGGTCCCAGCTTCCACCAATGAGGCGTCAGATGGTTCCAGCTTCCACCAATGAGGCGTCAGATGGTTCCAGCTTCCACCAATGAGGCGTCAGACGGTTCCAGCTTCCACTAATGAGGCGTCAGATGGTTCCAGCTTCCACCAGTGAGGCGTCAGATGGTTCCAGCTTCCACCAGTGAGGCGTCAGATGGTTCCAGCTTCCACTAATGAGGCGTCAGATGGTTCCAGCTTCCACCAGTGAGGTGTCAGATGGTTCCAGCTTCCACCAATGAGGCGTCAGATGTTCCCAGCTTCCACCAGTGAGGCGTCAGATGGTTCCAGCTTCCACTAATGAGGCGTCAGATGGTTCCAGCTTCCACCAATGAGGCGTCAGATGGTTCCAGCTTCCACTAATGAGGCGTCAGATGGTTCCAGCTTCCACTAATGAGGCGTCAGATTGTTCCAGCTTCCACTAATGAGGCGTCAGATGGTTCCAGCTTCCACTAATGAGGCGTCAGATGGTTCCAGCTTCCACCAGTGAGGCGTCAGATGGTTCCAGCTTCCACCAATGAGACGTCAGATGGTTCCAGCTTCCACCAGTGAGGCGTCAGATGGTTCCAGCTTCCACTAATGAGGCGTCAGATGGTTCCAGCTTCCACTAATGAGGCGTCAGATGGTTCCAGCTTCCACTAATGAGGCGTCAGATGGTTCCAGCTTCCACCAATGAGGCGTCAGATGGTTCCAGCTTCCACCAATGAGGCGTCAGATGGTTCCAGCTTCCACCAGTGAGGCGTCAGATGGTTCCAGCTTCCACCAGTGAGGCGTCAGATGGTCCCAGCTTCCACCAATGAGACGTCAGATGGTCCCAGCTTCCACCAATGAGGCGTCAGATGGTTCCAGCTTCCACCAATGAGGCGTCAGACAGTTCCAGCTTCCACTAATGAGGCGTCAGATGGTTCCAGCTTCCACCAATGAGGCGTCAGATGGTTCCAGCTTCCACCAATGAGACGTCAGATGGTTCCAGCTTCCACCAATGAGGCGTCAGATGGTGCCAGCTTCCACCAATGAGGCGTCAGATGGTTCCAGCTTCCACCAATGAGGCGTCAGATGGTTCCAGCTTCCACCAGTGAGGCGTCAGATGGTTCCAGCTTCCACCAATGAGGCGTCAGATGGTTCCAGCTTCCACCAATGAGGCGTCAGATGGTTCCAGCTTCCACTAATGAGGCGTCAGATGGTTCCAGCTTCCACTAATGAGGCGTCAGATGGTTCCAGCTTCCACCAATGAGGCGTCAGATGGTTCCAGCTTCCACCAATGAGGCGTCAGATGGTTCCAGCTTCCACCAGTGAGGCGTCAGATGGTTCCAGCTTCCACCAGTGAGGCGTCAGATGGTCCCAGCTTCCACCAATGAGACGTCAGATGGTTCCAGCTTCCACCAATGAGGCGTCAGATGGTTCCAGCTTCCACCAGTGAGGCGTCAGATGGTTCCAGCTTCCACCAGTGAGGCGTCAGATGGTTCCAGCTTCCACCAGTGAGGCGTCAGATGGTCCCAGCTTCCACCAATGAGACGTCAGATGGTCCCAGCTTCCACCAATGAGGCGTCAGATGGTTCCAGCTTCCACCAATGAGGCGTCAGACAGTTCCAGCTTCCACCAATGAGGCGTCAGATGGTTCCAGCTTCCACCAATGAGGCGTCAGATGGTTCCAGCTTCCACCAATGAGGCGTCAGATGGTTCCAGCTTCCACCAATGAGGCGTCAGATGGTTCCAGCTTCCACCAGTGAGGCGTCAGATGGTTCCAGCTTCCACCAATGAGGCGTCAGATGGTTCCAGCTGAAGAACATGTAGTGGTTCCCAGGTTTCTTCCAACCATCCCAGGAACATCTGAGCTGTTTGCTCTGTTTCAGGAATGATTAAATCCAGAACCTATTTAGCCTTTTTTTTCTGTGAATCCTCCTCCAGCCTGAACCAGAGTCTTTTGGGGAATATTTCTGTTTGCTGTAGATCATCTCTGGTTCTGGTGCTTCTGACAGCAGTAGCGGACAGGACCCCCACAGGTCAGCCTTGGACCTTCTCTGGACCCCTGCAGCAGAGCTGAACCTCTGTCTGACTTCCTGCTGATCTTCCTCCCGGTCTGCAGAGGGTCCAGCTGTTCAGGCGTCCCTGCTGGAGTCTTCCTCACTCTGATCACACTGAGCATGCTCGGTTTAAAGTCAATAAATCCAGGAGGAACCCAGGGGATTACCACAGCAGAGGAACTCTGCCAGCGGACGTGAGCAGAACCCCAGGGAAGATTTCTGGACTCCCGGTCATCTTCGGCCCAACGACAGTCAGGTCAGTTCTTCGTCGGGTCCGTTATTGATTGGGTCAGAGGTGGTTCTGGACAGATTATCAGGGATTTTACTGATGGAGAACCCAGCAGCAGCTGAGTTGGTCCTGAGCAGAGTCCAGTTGTGCTTTGCAGCAGAACCAACCCCCCTGTCTGCTAAGTTCCTTCAGTTAGAACCAAAGTTCTGCTGCAGGAGAAGTCGGTCCGGCTGAAGGCCTGGAGAATCCGGTCCATCCATTCCTGAGAGAGGTTGGGTTCTGGAGAGCAGAGTGTCAGAACGGTTGAGACTGAGCGGTTCTGACAGCTTCACACATGGGCTGAGCTTCAGATAAAGTGGACAGACAGGTTTTACTGTCAGAGCCAGGAGTTAGAGTCAGAGCTGATCAGTCAGATTAAGCAGGGACTGGCAGAACCTCGGGGAGAATGGGCCGAGCAGCTGCTGCGCTCTCAGATCAGCAGCACCACACCGTCTGTCATCTTCAGCCATAATCCCTCCATTGGGACGGGGGCTGGGTCCGGTTCTTAGGTGGCTCTGAGGTTCAGAAGCTCCTGGTTCCTCAGGAACAGATCAGAGATCCTCTGGAGGCTCCTTGCTTCCTCAGCAGAGATCCTGCCGAACCAGGATCAGGAACAGTTTCACGGACCGGAAGCAGAACCGGACCCTCTGTAGAGTTTAGATTATTAATATTTTACTAACTAGAACCAGAAGTTATAGTTTAAATCGAGGGTAAACCCAATGAATTCCTATTAGTTGAATGATTTTAGCGGTAATCTGCTCCAGCATGCTTAGTCTCTCATATAAAAGGTTGAACTCTGGACCTGCGGTGTCATTAGACCCATTAGACCCATTAGACCCATTAGACCATAGCTATCAGCAGCAGAGTTATTAATCCCCAACAAAGGGAACCTCTAACCCTGGATGAGCAGCTTCCAAAGCTCCCAGGGTGTTTCTGAAGGTCCGTCTGATCAATGAGGCTCGGTTCTGATCCAAAAGGTGCCAGAAGTTATGTTCCTTCTGCAGGAGTTTTTATCTGCAGAGCAAAGAGGAACAGCCGTTAGTCTGAGAACGAATCACACCTGTTCTATTCTATTCTGTAATCTCAGTTCTATTTACTTTATTTCTATGCTCTAATTGCCAGCATGTCACCTCAGGTCGCTTTATAGATCTAGTTCAATCAGATCATCCAGTTGTTGACTTTACAGGATTTTCTCCCCCTGGATGAGCAGCTAGAGACAGTAGATATTGACTCTTCAGCAATCCCTCACACTAAGCATGCTTGTAGCGACAGTGGAGAGGAAAACTCCCTTTGAACAGGAAGAAACCTCCAGCAGAACCAGGCTTAACTTTAGTTTGACGTTTTAATGGTTATAGAGTCAGATATGTGGCGGTAATGTTTGGTTTATCTTCTGTTACTGTATAAATGGGTTTGTCTGGAATTTAAGCTCAGATTCTAATATACCGTATCTGCAGGGTGGGGGGGGACTATAAATCTGCTGCTGAAGCTCCTCAGAGATGTTATTAGCAGCCAGAACAGCAGTGAGGAGTGATGGAGAGTTAATGTCACTGGGTGATTTAAATTCCCAGGAAAATGGACACATGATCAATTATATCCTAAAAACATTGATCAGTGTAGTTCAATGTTGTCTCAGTAATATTCTAGTTCCTAAACCTAAAAATACTATATCAAAGGAATTAATATAATAGATGCAAAAATATATTTTTAAGAAAAGTGTCAACAAATACCTTCTATCTTAATCCAATTAAAAGACTTTCCCTATTAAAAGAATTCTCCAACAATGATATCTGTGCATCGAGAATCATTTCTATTCTGCCTAAATATAAAGAGATTAATTTCCCAACTTTAAATGACATTTATCCTTTCAACCAATCATATTCTCCAGATTTAAATTCACTGCAGATAAACATGGTCTATGTGAGCAGGAAGAGAAAAGAACTTAACATTTATCTGATTTATTGAAGTAAAACCCAAACATTTTTATCCTCAGTTCATAACTGGTTTCTCTCTAAATCCTTAAACATTCATTTTCTCTCCTCCTCTGCAATCAAATCTGATATTATTGCCCAAGATTAACAAATATAATTTATAATTAATAATATAATTATTATGGTCAAATGTCTTCTTACCAAAATTCTCTCTATAATCTTTGCATTACAAAATGAAATAAATAAACTTAGTTTGTCCTTAAAGCAAATGTCTTCCAGTGATGCTAACAGACTCCATGCTTTTCTATCTGAACGTTATTCTTATTTTCTCTTATATCTTATATTTTTTTTTATCTTTTTCAGTCTAGTGATCCGTCTTTATCAATGTTTATGTCTTTATTTGATCATCTAATTTACTATTGAAGAACTTTTTTTATTGCTATTTTGCACAATTTTCTTAACTAAGTATTTTTTGTTGTTGAATATCAGATATTTTGTAGATATATTTTTTAAACATACATCGTTCAGATTAAGTTAATCTTTCTACCCTTTTCTATTATTAGCTTTGATTAGTTCCCGCTGGTTGGCTCCTTTATTCCTCTCTGGATTCTCATCTCTGTGGTCTTTGTTCATTTTACCATAAAAAAACAGAAAAGAAACTGAGAAGTTCAGTATTCATTCGTTTCCTGCTTTGTGTGTCAACTGTCATGGTTGCTAGGCGACAGAGTATACAGGCGGTGAAAGCCGCCGAAAGCTGGACCTGTTTGAATCCACAGCTAAACTCTTCCAGCATCCTTCAAGGATCCAAACCAGGTAGACTGCGTCCTTGGAAGACGCAGCCTCTGGAATCAAACGCATCCTTAGAGTGAGCGGCCATCTGCTGAGGCCCACTGGGGTTCAAGGAGACAGAAGCAGACGTAGAAAAAGAAGCATAGATACAAAAGGCAACTGTCAACCAGCTCCACAGGCGGCCCCGTCCAGGAAACACACAGCCAGGCAGACGAGCTCCGAGCCAGCTCCCATGTCAGAGGATGAAGAGAGCACATCCAGTTAGTCACAGTCAGAGAAACAGGACTACACTGGAAAACAGGCCAAGCTCCAACATCTAGAAACAAAGGTGTTGATGGCAGCAGCACAGCTGATATTTCTTTCCAGGATGGAGTCACAGCCAAACAGGAACAGACCAGATGAAGCTACTATGAGAAAAAGCAGAGAGAGCAGAACGTTAGAGATTGAACTAACAGATTCTGCAGAGTGGGAGAATAGAGATAGAATGAAGCAGAATGATGAAATGGGGGTCCCTATGTCCTCCAGCAGTCTAAGCCTATAGCAGCAGAACTATAGAGATAGCTCAGGATAACCTGAGCCACTCTAACTAGAAGCTTTATCAAAAAGGAAGACGTTAGTGTGAGGTTCTTCCAGTGATAAAGTATTTTTCTCTACGTTCTAGATGTTCTGCTCACGGTTGGCTGCGTCAGACCTTCAGTTTATTTATTCCATCAAAGAAAAACGCAGAGTTCTGTCAGAGTTCCAAGTTAGACTCATTCTGTTTCAGCAGTTCTGTTGGGTCTCGGTTCGGTCCGCTTATAGTCCAACACCAAACAGGTCCACAGGGTTGGACTGCTTCAGACCTGATCTGCTTCTGGGTCCCCTCACCCTGAATAGGATGGTATTCTCTTTGAGGAGGATCAGCTACCAGGATGGTTCTGGAAGAGGGTTCTGTGTGTTTGGACCATGACAGCAGGGATGGGGCGCCTCTGTGACGGGACCTGTTGGTGTTTCAGGATGATGCTGAACGATGAGTGGACCATCATGAACAACAGCAGCTCCGAACTGGACGGCAAGAGACCAAACAAGTACAAGGTGAGTCCCACACGGCTGGTTCAATGTCCCAGTGCCAGGATCTGGAGTTAATCTGTGTTAATCTGGAGTTAATCCATCAGATAAAGTGTGGGTAATCTGTAGCATCTGTCAGCTCCACTGAGCTGCTTCTGGGTCAGATTTGTGCCAAACATCAGCAAGCAGACAGAAAGGAACCACCTGCTGAGCCAGACGCTGGGATTCTGGTTCTGAAGGAGAAACCAGCCTGCTGGTCTGATGGGACCATTAAAAGGAGCCAGTTAAACCAGTAACATCCCCGTTAGCTGAGCAGGTCCACCACAGTCAGGCAGAACCGGGTCAGACCCGAGTCCTGATGCACACCTTCAGTCTGTCTGTCTGTCTGTGTTTAGAAGTGCTGCACCGTCCTCTTCTGGGGAATCCTCCTGCTATTGATCCTAGCAGCTGTCACCATGGCAACAATGGCCGTCCTCCATCTCAGTCAGTATCCTCTCCCCTTCATCAGCAGGTACCTCACCCTCACCTCTGTTCAACAGCCCTCTCTGTATGAATATTCATCCTCTGTTGTCACGGTAACAGGGGTGGGGCCTCTACACCAGCCATTTCCACGTCCTCCAAGGACTCTGGCGCCTTGGTGACCATTTCCCGCTTGGCAGATGGAGAACCTGTCAGCGTGTTCCTGGACCCGAACTGTCCAGACTACAGCCAACACTTCCTGCGCTGGGAGGCGCTGCAGAGCTCGCTGCTGCGGACGCTGTCCAATCACAACGGAGACGACTGGAAGGAGAGGGGAGCCTATCAGAAGCTAGGAGACGATCTGAAGGTGCTAACAGGCCACGCCCACAATCTGAGGCTGGAAACTGATTCGCTGAAGAGAGGTCAAGGTGTTCTGGACCAGCGGATGGACAGACTGCAGAGCGAGCAGAGCCGCATCCTTCAGGTAGAGTTACACACCTAAAATGGTTTTGTTGAACAATGCAGCAGATTCCTGACCTGCAGGCTCCGCCCACCTGCACAGGTGCTGTCCGACAGCCACGCAGGTGTTCTGAAGTTAGCTGAGAGCTTCAGTGATTCTCTGCTCGGCCTGAAGATGGAGACAGAGAGCCTGAGGAGGCTGAAGAGTGAGCTGAGCCAAGACCCCGCCAAGACAGGTGAGACTCAGGTAGCAGACAGGAAACAGGCAGCGGCGGCTTCCCATATTGGACTCTGATCGTTTCTATGGCAACCTTTCTCCTCAGCCGTCCAACCCAGAGACTGCAGCAGCATCTTAGCGTCCGGCGTCTCTCAGGACGGCGTTTACTCTGTGTTTCCAACTCACGATCCTGACGGCTTCATGGTCTACTGTGACATGAGCACCGACGGAGGAGGCTGGACGGTACGCACCACACAGCAGCGCCTCTACTGGCCGGCAGGGGAACTGCAGGCAGGGGGTTTAATGAGTGTGAAGACCTAATCTAAGGGATGATAACAGAGCTGCTCCATGTGTCCCTCTGTGTTCTGAACATTCATCTGTACGACCAGAAGCAACCCTTCATGTGCTGATCCACCATGTTGTTTCTGATTCCTTCAGGTGATTCAGAGAAGAGAGGACGGCTCAGTGAACTTCTTCAGAGGCTGGGAGGCCTACAGGGATGGCTTTGGGACCACCACAGGAGAACACTGGCTGGGTGGGCTGAGAACCTACGGTCCTCAGTGTGGAGCTCACCACCCAGATGTCCTGATCAACTGGGTGGTGGAGCTCAGTTCTTAAAATAATCATCGACATAATAAATATCATCAGATCAAACATAGAGAACCTAGGAACCTTTGCTAGGAACCTTAGGCCAGGAACCTTCCCTTATCAGTAGCTACGTTTACATGGACGCAAAGAAGGGGACTGAGAAACTGATCAGATCAAGAATGTTTGATGTAAACATACCAGACTGGAGACTATGATCCGATTCGCTCCGATCAGAAAGAATTCCCAATCTGGAAGACAGGTGTTTGTTTTCCGATCCCCGTTCTGGCGTTCATGTACACACCCATTACCACAGACAGCTCTGCGCTCGCTTAAAGGATTTAATCTGATCGAACATTCGGTACAAATACCTGTCTCTAACCATCCGTCTCTAACTGTCCATCTATAACTGTCCATCTATAACTGTCTGTCTCTAACTGTCCATCTATAACCGTCCGTCTCTAACTGTCCATCTATAACCGTCCGTCTCTAACTGTCCATCTATAACCGTCCGTCTCTAACTGTCCATCTATAACCGTCCGTCTCTAACTGTCCATCTATAACTGTCTGTCTCTTTCTGTCTCTCTCTGTCCATCTCCCTGTCTCCCAGGTCTGCAAAGGATCTACGCTCTCACCAGGTCTGGTGGTTTCGAGTTGCGTATCGACATGGCTGACTTCGATAACGCCACTGCGTTCGCTCTGTACTCTGATTTCTCTGTTGGCCGAGACTCTGTGAACCCGGAGGAGGACGGATACCCACTGACTGTGGATGGGTACTCTGGGACAGCAGGTACTGCTCAGCAACTAGACCAGGGAGTACTACACTGCCCCACAGCACTACTATACAGTACTACACTGCCCCACAGCACTACTATACAGTACTACACTGCCCCACAGCTTTACTATACAGTACTACACTGCCCCACAGCACTAATATACAGTACTACACTGCCCCACAGCACTACTATACAGTACTACACTGCCCCACAGCACTACTATACAGTACTACACTGCCCCACAGCGCTACTATACAGTACTACACTGCCCCACAGCACTACTATACAGTATTACACTGCCCCACAGCACTACTATACAGTACTACACTGCCCCACAGCACTACTATACAGTACTACACTGCCCCACAGCACTACTATACAGTACTACACTGCCCCACAGCACTACTATACAGTACTACACTGCCCCACAGCGCTACTATACAGTATTACACTGCCCCACAGCACTACTATACAGTACTACACTGCCCCACAGCACTACTATACAGTACTACACTGCCCCACAGCACTACTATACAGTACTACACTGCCCCACAGCACTACTATACAGTACTACACTGCCCCACAGCACTACTATACAGTACTACACTGCCCCACAGCACTACTATACAGTATTACACTGCCCCACAGCGCTACTATACAGTACTACACTGCCCCACAGCGCTACTATACAGTACTACACTGCCCCACAGCACTACTATACAGTACTACACTGCCCCACAGCACTACTATACAGTATTACACTGCCCCACAGCACTACTATACAGTACTACACTGCCCCACAGCACTACTATACAGTACTACACTGCCCCACAGCACTACTATACAGTACTACACTGCCCCACAGCACTACTATACAGTACTACACTGTCCCACAGCACAACTATACAGTACTACACTGCCCCACAGCTTTACTATACAGTACTACACTGCCCCACAGCACTACTATACAGTACTACACTGCCCCACAGCACAACTATACAGTACTACACTGCCCCACAGCACAACTATACAGTACTACACTGCCCCACAGCACAACTATACAGTACTACACTGCCCCACAGCTTTACTATACAGCACTACACTGCCCCACAGCACTACTATACAGTACTACACTGCCCCACAGCTTTACTATACAGTACTACACTGCCCCACAGCACTACTATACAGTACTACACTGCCCCCACAGCACTACTATACAGTACTACACTGCCCCACAGCTTTACTATACAGTACTACACTGCCCCACAGCTTTACTATACAGTACTACACTGCCCCACAGCACTACTATACAGTACTACACTGCCCCACTGCACTACTATACAGTACTACACTGCCCCACTGCACTACTATACAGTACTACAATGCCCCACAACATTGCTTTTAAGTACTACGCTGTTGCAAGATACTACCACAAAGTACAACCCTGCTATAACACGGTACTAAACAGTACCATTATGTACCATTATCAAAACAGAAATGTGTAGCAGAGTACTTCATAGTACTACAAACAGATTCTTAGTACTACAGCATACAAAGAACTTCATAGTACTCTCCCCTGCCTCCCCAGGGGACTCCCTGTTGAAGCATTCTGGGATGCGGTTCACTACCAAAGACCGGGACCAGGACCAGTCGGAGAACAACTGCGCGGCGTACTACCAGGGGGCGTGGTGGTACCGGAACTGCCACACCTCCAACCTGAACGGACAGTACCTGAAAGGAGGCCACGCCTCCTACGCCGATGGAGTGGAGTGGTCCAGCTGGACCGGCTGGCAGTACTCGCTGCGGTTCACCGAGATGAAGATACGACCCAGGAGACCAGAGTCCTGAACCGGGCCCTGAGGCAGGACCTGGGTCTGGCCCTCTGCTGCTGCTCCCATCTCGAGAAAATGGTCCCTGAATGTTAGGAAATGTTCTGATCCGTTCCTGTGCTGCTTGTTACTGTCAGTACTGGGTCCTACCGATGAAATCCAGTCACTGTAGAACCCAGGATTTTGTTATTAAACAGTTTTTGCCGAACCAGTCTGCCTGAGCCAGTCTTTGTGCTTTAGATCCCAGAACAACTAAAGCTGTTAGAGTTCTGCTCCGGTGTTCGGACCGCTGCAGGATCAACTTATCCTCATCTGATTCTGTGTTTCAGTCCAATCCACCTGGGAAACCGAGTCTGACGGGTTCTGAACCAGGGGGGGATGATGAACCAGGAACCAGGAAGGGTTCTGCCTCCAGAACAGGGACACTTTCTAATGTATTTCTGTTCATTCTGGTTCTGATCCGGTCGACTCCTGTAGGTTTTGACTGGTTCTGATCCGATCAAATTTCAACCATTTCAGGTCATCAGACGGTTAGCTGAGGACAGAAGATGGAGTTCATGTCATGAACGGGGCAGATGGACCCGATATTTAGGCAGGTCAGGCAGTGGGACGTTTCTAAACGTTTATGAACAAAAGACAGAAACTGAACGCAGAGCTGTGGATCAACGAACTGCAGCGGCTGCAGGGGGGGCGGGGCACCACCAAACCACTGACACACTGGTTTAACAGTTAGGGTTAGTGAGCCTGGGTGGAAGGCAGGATCCAGCTGATGAACTGCCAACGAGCCGCCCAGAGTGTCCCTGATGCAGCAGCCCCAGGGAGAAGGCAGGAATCCTGGCCAGGTCAGGGAAAACAGATCAGAACAGGACAGTTCTGGGATCCAGGAGTCAGTAGACCCACCTGGGGTTCTGATCTGGACAGGAACAGATCCAGGGTTCCAGGAATCCATGGAATGTTAGGGGAGTTTCAGAGAGGGACAGAGATAAGACATGTTACCAGGAGAACTGCAGAACTTTAAACTGGACTCCCCCAAGAGCCAGGCCTACGGGACTTA